GACACTTCTCCAAAGAAGATGTGCAAAAGGGCAACAAGCAAGTGGAAAGATACTTATCACTAACCATCAGGGAAATGCAAATCAAAACCACAGTGAGATAGCACATCACACCTGTTAGGATGGCTACTATCAAAAAATAAATAACAAAACAACAACAACAACAAAAAAATAAACAACAAAACAAGTGTTGACAAAGACGTGGAGAAATTGGAAACTTGTGTACTGTTGGAGGGAATGTAAAATGGTACAGCTGCTATGGAAATCATTACGGTGGTTCCTTAAAAAATAAAAAATAGAATTACCATCTGATCCAGCAATTCCATTTCTGGGTATAAACCCAAAAGAATTGAAAGCAGGGTCTTGAAGAGATGTTTGTACACCCATGTTCATAGAAGCATTATTCACAATAGCTATAGAGTGGAAGCAACCCAAATGTCCATCAACAGATGCATACATAAACAAAATGTGGTCTATACATATACGATGATATTATTATTCATCCTTAAAAAGAAAGGAAATTCTGATACATGGTACAACACGGATGAATCTTGAAGACATGTTAAGTGAAATAAGTCAGATACAAAAAGACAAAAAAGTAGAATGGTGGTTGCCAGGGGCTGGGGGAAGGAGGAGTTACTGTGTAATGGATATAGAGTCTCAGTTCTGGAATGGATAGTGGTGATAGATGTGCAAAAATATGGATCTACTGAACACCACTGAACTGTACACTTAAAAATGATTAAGATGGCCAATTTTATGTCATGTATATTTAACCACAATTTTTTTAAAAAGGGAGGATGGCTAGAAAAAATGAGATACTGGTACTTAGCAAATGATGAGGCCTAAACTAGTATAGTGGCAGAGGGAATGGAAAATTGGAGATAAATGTACACCATAGGAATTTTAGAGGAAGATTCTTCAGGATGTCATGGAGAGATGGGTAAAGTGAGAAGTCCAAAGGAATTCTGAGGTTTCCTACCATGGGTGGCTAGATGTATGTTGATTCTGTTAACCGTGGTATAGAATACAGGGGAAAGAGCAAGTGAGAAAAGTAGGAAGACAATGAGATCATTTTTAGATTGTTGAGGTTGTGTTATCTGTGTCATGTCCTAAGATAGAGTTTGAGGTCAGAAGAAGAATATAGTATGTATTTATTGATACAGGAATCATCAATGATAAGTAAGCCGGAGGTTTTCCAACTTCTAGGCAGACTCTGAATGTTATAACTAGGGGTTTTATGCTATTTTTAATGACCCAAATAGTCTCAAATGAATGGCACGTGCACCTGTAATTATGGTGTACAAGGTATTATTTTTTTAAATGCCACTGCTTTGTAAATAAAACTCTTCAAGCATTGCGACATGGAAATAAAAACAACAATAACAGTTGTACATAATAGTGAAAAGATTGGGAACCACTATAGAGGTAATACTTGAATCTATATGAAGATGAGTAAGGAATGTAACTTTTATTCCAAGTTTACATAAGGCATCAATCTGTTTTATTCAGAGCTGGGTTACCCCACATTACAAAATGAAGTTCCTTTCCACTTGTCTTTCAAATAATATGACTCTTAACTTACCTTAAGGATTTAGACATATTTTATGCCATCATAGCACCAGTCCCATAATGAAAAACATCAACACCAAAGGATGAACTGCAGTGAAAATCCTCTACCTGTGGAGGCTACTGCATCACATGCTGGAAAGTGCTGAGTTAATCAAAATAACGGGTAAGATAATAAAATTAAGACTGGAGCACCTCCAGATACTAAATCTTTAGCCAGGGTAATTGTAAGGCCAGCTTCATTTCTTACTCTTATTTCAGGAATTAGTCTTCTGTTGTAGTCTAATGTCTAAAAACATTTGTTTTATATACTTTGTTCAGTTGCCTGAATGCTTACAGCAGGAGGCTAAAGATAATTCCAGTTCCTCATGTACAGAAGTGAACTTAGTGTTCAATATTCTTTTTAGATTTTGATTCCATAGCAGTGTAACTATTTCTAAATAAACTAGAATACATTCATCTCTTAAAAATTACCATCTTGTTATTATTCCATAATACTACCAACGCTCAAATTAGTTTTGGAATATTTTGGTGAGAAAATGCATTCAAATAATGTTCAAAGTAATCAAGAAAATCAGTCTTATGTTCTGAGGAATTTTATTTGAAGGCCAAAGACCTTATCAACTGAAGCTTACTAAGTTTGCTGCCAATGCGTAAATTACTCGACCTTTTTGGTATTGGTTTTGTCATCTGTAAAATGGGCTATATCCTGGCCTGTATGAATGGGGCCCTCTGGAATTGTGCAGCGTGTAGCCTGAATTGCTGCAAAGCAGTAGCCCAGGCTATATTAAGATGCTTTCATCTGAAACAAAATATTCAAATCAAAATTGCTTATGCAATAAATTATCTCATCTAGCAAAATGTTCAGAGGGAGTGTGGCTCTAAGATTAATTTGATGGCTCATGTCATCAAGAACCAAAGTCCTTTCCAACTCCCTCACTTCCCCCATCTTCAGCATTACTGTTATCATCTCTCAGGTTTGTCTCTGCATAGCTGAATGATGGTTGCAGTAGCTCCAAGCATCATGGCCTCCTATAACCATCTCCAAAGACCAAAAGGGACAGAAATTCTCCTCTGAACAATTCCCCAGAAGACTTCTCTCATATGTCACTGCCCAGGATTATATCACATGCTCATTCTTTAAGCAATCACTTTCAACAGGAATGGAATTACCATGATTGGCTTACTAATTAAAAGATTTATCCTCCTGGGGCTAAAAAAGTGCCCACTTTCCCATGAAGTTACGGCCAACCAACATCTACAGAGTGGATGGAAGGAAGAAGACAAGACAGCCAGCTACTGAATAGGCAATTAAAGTGTCTTCCACATGAAAAATACCTATACAATAAAAAGCTATTTAAGTGAAATAATAGATGTGAAAGTAATCCACAACTCAATTATTATGTAAATGTTATGCCTTAACCTTTAAATGGCATCATTCAGTATATTCACCAGTTATATTTACCAGCTAAATTTACCATACTTGGTTTGTGACTTTTTAAATGTTAAAAAAAAGCACATTTTTTTGCAGAGATATTATGATCTATAGATAAGGAAGATGACAAAGAGGTTAGTCTTCCCAAATTCTACCAACCAGAGAAAAAAAGCACTGTTAATGTTTTATACATCCCTGCAGAAAAAAAGCACTAACATTTTAGTATATGCATCCCTGCAGTTTGCCCCATGTTAAGTGCATTAAATATATTTTAACAGGATTACTATACATACTATACTATAACCAGCCATTTCACTTAATTTACCAATATTAATATAGATTTTCATGATAATTTTTAATGGATGAATAGAATCAGCCTTTGTTTTTAAACAGTCACTTCTATATTCAAAAGAATTGAGATTTGCTATAATGAGGATATTCAGAAAAGCAATATTGAAGAAGAGCTGTAAACGTAATTGAAAAATTGGAGGAATCACAGATGAGAACATACCTTTCAAGGCCTTCCACTGTCTCCATACAAACCTGCCATGTAAATGTCTTGTTAGCCTTTGGTGATGTAATGACCTTGCTGAGCTTTCCTTTCATCTCAGCGCAAGGTTTATTCCCAACTGGCTATAAGCCTTAGGTCTCTTTCATTCACTACTGAATCCCTCTTCAAGATTCAACCACATTCTTTGGTATCCATTACCATGATTATTAGGGCTATTTTAACATTTTTATTTATTTATTTAACAAACTTATTTATTTTTGGCTGCGTTGGGTCTTTGTTGCTGCACGGGGGCTTTCTCTAGTTGCGGCAAGCGGGGGCTACCCTTCACTGGGGCGCGTGGGCCTCTCACTGTGGTGGCTTCTCTTGTTGCGGAGCATGGGCTCTGGGCACGCTAGCTTCAGTAGTTGTGGCACACGGGCTCAGTAGTTGTGGCTCGCGGGCTCTAGAGAGCAGGCATAGTAGTTGTGGTGCACGGGTCCAGTTGCTCCGCAGCATGTGGGATCCTCCCAGAGCAGGGCTTGAACCCATGTCCCTTGCGTGGGCAGGCGGATTCTCAACCACTGTGCCAGCAGGGAAGTCCCAGGGCTATTTTTTATTAAAGGACATGGTAAGGAGTTTGTTCAGGGAGAATAAGGGCACTCTTAGAAGTCCAGCTTGATACTTAAATTTTTTTTTTTACTTTCAAGAATGAACTACATACAACTTATAGTATACCTCACAATGCTTTTATTTAGTCATCCAAGTGAGAACAACCCAAATGATCTTCATGTGTATGGTCAGGGTAGAGACAGAACAAATAAATCTCAGATATTAATTTTGCTAAGGTGCAAAATTCTTTTCCAGTGAAGGTCCAGAGGATCCAAATGTCTTTTCCTCTAACCCTGCCTTTAGCCAACTTGTTACCCATCACACTTCCAAGCACTGCTTTTGCTACAGTAACTCATAAGTCTATATAAGCTCCAACAATACCTAAGAACTCTCAATATTTTCTACTCACCTCCATTTACCTGAGCTTTTGCCTGCTCATCTCCTGAATGTTCCGTCTCCTGAATATCATTGGCTGAATATAAAATTTGGGGCAGTTTTATAGTCCCTAAAAAGCAGATAGGGTTAGATATGATGGCTACATAAAACGAAAACTACAAAAAGAATCAAAGTTGAAGCTGCTAAAAAGATTGGAGAAATTGCTCGATATCCCTCAAAACATGGTATTCAGATTCAAAATCTGTAATAAATTGTTAGTGAAAATTAATCCAAACAAATATTGAATACTGGTTGAGAAGTAGGGGGAAGAATCCTCTTGCACTGCTAGTAGGAGTGTAAACTGGTGTAGTCATCTGGAGGGTAGTATGGCAATAGCGTGGGAAGTTAGTGTGCACATACCTAACAACTTGGGGATTCTCCCCTACATATAGGTCCTAGAGAAACCCTTACCACAGTCTGTTAGTTATCTATTGCTATGTAACAAATTACTCAAAACTGAGTGGCTTAAAACAGCGATAAACATTTATTATTCCACAGTTTCTATGGGTCAAGAATTCAGGCGTGTCTCTTGTAAAGTTGCAGTCCAGATGTTGGCCGGGGCTCCTGTCATCTGTTTAACTTCAGCTGAAGGATCCACTTCTAAGATGCTGCTGTCACATGACATGCACGTTGGTGCTAGCTGTTGGCTGTCCCATGGGGCTGCTACAGTGTCCTCAACAACACTGTTGGCTTTACTAGGAGCAAGTGATCCAAGAGAACAAGGTGGAAATAGCAATGTATTTATTACCTAGTCTGGGAATTCACACATCACTGCCACATTATGTTGGTCACACAGGCGAAACCCGATACAATGTGGGAAGGGATTACACAGGGGCATGAATCATGTGGGAGCATCTAGGAAACAGGCTTGCACACGCAGGTCCATAGAAGACATGTATGACAACATTCACCGCAGTATTATTTGCAGTGACAAGGAGTTGCAGGCAACTTAGGTTTTCATTCTGAGAGAAGTTTGAAAGTGAAATGTGGTATACGCCTGTGATGGAATACCTTGTAGCAATCAAAAGTAATGAACCAGATTTAAGTATTCCTTTTTCAACTCAAAAGAAACAAAAATAGAAAAATAGAATGACATGTATAGCATAATGCAACTGATACAAGTTTGAAAAACACTGTATATATATATACTTTTTCCCCACACTATATATTTTTAAAGATGTATGTGTTGCTAAATACATATATAAAAGGTTGACTGGAAAGACATATGTGGTTGTATGGGGGAGGAAAGGGAATTGAAGAGGAGCTGAAGGAAGAAGTAAGAAAATGAAAGAAAAGAGGGGCTTTGCAAGAACAATGTGAAGAGTGTGTTATGAATTGAGGAGAGGAATTATCTTAATTCTGTGTAGTTGAGGTTTAAAAAAAAAATTCTTTTTTTAAGGCAGAGTTGTAATGTGGTCCAAGCAGGCCTCCTAAGAGATCTAACTGAGGCAAAATTCCTAGTAGATAAGGTTCTACTAGTTTCTCTGTGTTGTATTTTTTATGAGTCATATTCCTGTGGAAGGAAAATTTCAATTGTCTTAGAATACCTCTCTTATCTCCTTGTTGGAATGAAATTCTTTTAACAGAACACAAACTTCTTTTGTTTCTCAAATGCAAATAATCTTGAGAGAGGTAGCCCACAAATACAATTTATAAAAAGGAGTAAATCATTGATATCAGATCTCCTTGTTAAGGATGTGTTTCATAGGAGCCTAAATGAACAGGATTTTAAATTTCTTGAAAGGGTATGGGGGTAGAGGGGATAGAAAAGAGAAGGAGCACAGAGGGGGTGCATTAAGGTACCAAAGACAGATCAGCTCCCTCATGATTTTGATTAAAACTAGTGCTTTTAACAAATTTCATTTTGGGGTTGAAATAAGAAAAAGAGATTACCTTGCATTTATGGTAATTTAGTTCTTTTGAGTTCAAGGTATACCCACAGATAAATTTTCATTTGTTTAATTTTAACCACAGTTAACAACTAAATAAATATATTAATTTACTCTCTAGATGTTGTTTCAAACTGATGACTATTTTTGGGGGTCGGTAGTAGTGGATTGATTGGTTTATCCTTAGGATAAATCAAAATCTATACTTGAGGTCAGGCCAATTTTTTACAATTCACAGAGCAAACAGGACTAAAATGGAGAAGGTTCAGGTTAAAGCCTAATTTATCTTAGAAAAAGTATGTTGTGCATACTTGTAATTGTATGATAGCAGAGGGTTAGGAAAATGTTTTTATATTTGAGGAGAATAATAATACTGGTTTTATTGAAGATAGGCCCAACCTATGGCGCCGTGAATGCAAGAGTCATTCACATAACAAACGATCCACATGTGTATTGTAACAATTGTTCTGGAGACTAATTGTGGCCCTTTGGGGATCATGGCCAGTACTTCTTGAACAGCTACTCCTGCTGAGTAGCAACAATAGAGACAGCAGTCCAAAGTAGCCAATAGTCACCTTTCTTTTTTTCAGGGATATTTAATTTATTTTTAAAAGAAAATTAATCACTCTTGAAAAACTGTTCTTCGTGTGTGTTTAAGTATTTTATTTCTCATTCGCCCCTCGGACATCAGACATGTTAATATCAAGCTCTTATATGCCATCTAATATAAAGTAATGTAACCACATATGCTCCCTAAGGCAAAACACCCCCATGAAGACGACTCTCCATGGAGTCTCTGGCAGCCAGTTCTATAAACACAAAAACCACACACTTGATTCACAGCACCACCTTGTTCTCTGTTCCACATGGTATTTTTGATTGAGCACCAGCTCCTTAAGGCATCACTGTAATATTTGGTTAACAGAAACCGACATATGTACATAATAACAGCTGATTTTCATATAAGCCTTCACAAACACTCTAGGAATTTTGGAAAATACTCTGAGGTTATGAAGCATTCTAAAGTTTAATATTTCTTCAAAACTTTTCTATTCTCCCTTCACTACTTATGAAAAGCCCTTTACTAAGGACATTAGCTAAGGATCACGTCTGCACTAGACTGTAAGCTCCATGAAGGTAGGGCCTGTGCCTGTCTTGTTCATTCAATGATTCCTCAGACCCCAGCAAGGCATCAAATCATAGTTCATGAATGCTTGAACTTGTATCTCATGACTTATTAGACAAATTTATATAATAAATTTTTCTTAATGACAACTGGGTTGTATGTCTACAATAGAGACATTTCACCTATTAGAACAAGACCTTAAAAAATATTCTGATATTTTCATATTAGAAATGTGAAATAAACAATAAAAAGTGGTCCAGAGAGGTTCAGAGACTCATGAAAGTCACATCACTTGACTTAAGACCACCTTCCTCCACCCAGCCCAATGCTCTTTGAACCACACTCTGCTGCTCCTCCTTTATGATTCTGTAAAAAGCAAATTTAAATTAGCTAGCTTCTTTTGAGAAAAAAAAAAAAAATTCCAGGTTCATTAAGAAAAACTAAAAAGCTAGTTTGTAAAAGTCTTTTATTGTATCCGTGCCACACATAGTAGTGAAAAATAACACTCCTAAAAAAAAGAATGCTACCTTTTCCACAACATTTTATTTTAAATAAAACTTCAAGTACTCTTACATAGGTACAAAAAAATTCTGATCTACTTGCCTCCAACAGGCCACCACAACACACAGTAGATAAAACACAGTGGTTACAAATGTCTTTTAAATTTATTTCTGAGGCAAGGCAAATGGGAGGGAAATGTTTCTATGAAAAAATACTGTGTGCGTAGGAAATTGTCACAATTTTATTCCACATGGATACAAATGATTATACTTTAATTTAGGCCCTGGTGGCTTAAAATTATATAACAAAATAGAAAAAATGGAAAACTAATATCCCCTACACCCTGTTTCAAAGGCAGGCACTACCAAGATCAAGGAGATGCCACAGTGTTGGTAGAGGATAATTACTGTACAAGCTGTATAGCTATAATTACCTTCAGACTAAAATAAAATGCTACAATCCTTCTAAGGCATAAACAATAATGTCTGCAAACAATATATACACATAATACATATTTAAAACAAGACTTAATATAAACAATAATGAACAGTATATACATGTCAATTTTTCTTCACTGTCTTGAAATACAATTTAACTACACAAGTGATGCAGCAACATATATATATATATATGTATATATATATATAAATGTACTTGTAACTCTACAGTAAAGTTTATTTTTGGTGCTTTTATAGCACATCAGTGTAAACAGTTTAACTTGGCTTTGTTTTATATTTTAAAACATTCCTTGTTGTATTTTCAAGATTTAAAGCAGTTTTTCTAGTTCTTCCTTTTCACAGAAAACGAAGATTCTGGATGTGGTTTAATCATAAATAATTCATAAAATTAAATACATTCACTAAAAAATAAACTACAAAGTAAAAAAATGAAAAATAGATATTTATTGAGAGGGAAAGGAGAACCATTTCCCACGTTAGAGCTCTGGTGTTGAATATTCAGTGCGATTTGATACATTTTAATTGCTATTGCACTATAACACCCTTTCCTTTGAAAATTCTTTGGGTGTGCTTCCCTGTTCTACCTAAATTAGCTGATAAATCACACAAACCAATAACCAAGGGCCTTGGTTGTTGTAGGAGTGAAGCCTTTAAAAACGGTATCATTCTTCTGATACTTTTTTTTTGTGTGATATTTATTTTAAGGAAAAAAAGTCATTATGTATGTGCCTTGCACATGTATGTAAATACAGTTCACATTGCTGGTTCGTTTGTCCTTGTTTAAAAGGAAAAAAACAAGAGAGATTATTAAAACTTCAGCTCACTTTGAAAGTATCTGTCCACTTTTTTTCAAAATACTTCCTCATACTGTGGCCAGCTCTGCCTATATCAGAATCATCTTCATTAAATGTTTCACAGTTGTCAAAAACAAGCCTGACATCTAGAGCAAAAGTTTCAAGGTTTGGATACCTGGAAGAAAACACATGATTACAGGTTGCTTTTGTAGGCTGGTTTTGTTTTGCAAACAAATGAAGAGGTAATAAAAGATAAAATAAAACATAAAATTGAAAGGAAAAAGAAAAAGATTAGGGTAACTGCATTTAAACTGATATAAAACATATTATACCCTCTTATAAATAGGACGTTTAAAAGACTGCACGTGTTCTGGACATATAGAATTTAAAGACAGGTTAAATGGAAAACAGATTTCTCTTGAAGATCAAGATATATTTCAACAAACTAGCATTTTTCTTACATCCAATTTCCTGTTCGACCTGTATCACAATTTTGTTACAGGACTCATCCTACTTGATTAGTTTATTAACTCTTACCAACTGTATCACTTGCAGTACCCTATTTTTCACACTCAAAAATATTTAGCTACAGTAGAAATAATATAAATGCTTCCCATGCACTATGTACATGACACTTGCCCTGTAGCTTTTACATACATCCCAGGATAGGTCACTCCGTGTTAAACCTTGCCCCTTTCCCATTTCTCTTCTTCTCTCTTCAGATATGCTCTTTTGCTCAAACACTGTCATATGATGATCGAAAACAAGCAAAAAAAGCATGTGCTATCTCTTTACTGGAGATAACATTATCAGGAAACTGCCTTTCAATGAGAAGCACTGTGAATTCAGTGCTTTTTTTGGTGGGATAATCCCAGTCCTCTTTCCCTGTAAGAACACAGAGAAGAGAACTGAAAGGTGCACGACTAGACTTATTAGTAAGGAAGGAGTGGAGCATTTCAAGCCAAATCAATACATTTTGAAAAAGGGCTTTTGGAAAGTCAAATTTAAATTAACTCTAACTTATGACAAATTGAATACTAAAATAATTTACCCATTAGAAATACCTATGAAGCGCACACTGAAGCTCTGAGATCTGGTAAAAGTGGAATTATTTCTTTGATGAAATACCTTGTACAGTCTTTTCACTCCTTTCTTCTAATATGTGCAATAATAAAAGAAGAAAATTTCTTTATCTGTAATGAGCTCACAGAATTGTCAGCCCTATGTAACCTCTACCCATTTTCCTTTTCTTCTGAGAATTATTATTTTTTAAATTAAGGTGAAATGCACATAACATCATATTAACCATTTAAGGTAGATAATTAAGGCATTTAGCACACTCACAACATTGCATTACCTAGTTCCAAAACACTGTCATTACCCCAAAAGGAAACTCTATCCATTAAGCATTTACTCTCTATTCCTTCCTATCCCCAGCCCGTGGCAACCATCAACTTGTCTTTTGGTCTCTATACATTTACCTATTCTGGACATTTCATATAAATGCAATCATATAACATGTGTGGGAATAATTTTTATAAAATATTTTAAAGTTGCCTTGAGAAATATTTATCTCTTTAGACTGTTCCTTACTACAAGAAAAGGTTAATGATTAGCACTAGGGAGACAAATCCGGGAGAGAATTTTAGGCGAGATTCTAGATGAAATAAGTACAAGAGAAGGAGGGGGAAGCTGATGGAACCCAGAAAGATTCATTAAAGGAGGCACTTCCTCCCCTCTGTTCTCTAAGTTTCTAGTTTAAAATTTGAAATACTGTTTGTGAGTTTGGGTCCCAGCTCATTAATTTGGGTTTAATGAAATAAGTCGAAGTGAGAGGAGTCTGAATTCTGTCTCCCACACCTGGCATCACAAATAGGATTATATAGAACTGCTTCTCTCTGCTTGCTTCTGCTGTGACCTCCTCCATTTACTGGCGCTCATTCTCAAAAGGGAGCTTAGGGCTTCCCTGGTGGCGCAGTGGTTGGGAGTCTGCCTGCCGATGCAGGGGATACGGGTTCGTGCCCCAGTCTGGGAAGATCCCACATGCCGCGGAGCGGCTAGGCCCGTGAGCCATGGCTGCTGAGCCTGCGCATCCGGAGCCTGTGCTCTGCAACGGGAGAGGCCACAGTGGTGAGAGGCCCGTGTACCGAAAAAGAAAGAAAAAAGGGAGCTTAGATTTTGCAGATCTTTTGGTACTTCTGTGTGTGTAAGCCTTTTTATTTTGAGGTTTAGGTTCATCCTCTATCCAGGAACTGGAGAATTATGGAAGTTAAAAATGTTCATTGCAGCTCTATTTACAATAGCCAGGACATGGAAGCAACCTAAGTGTCCATCAACAGATGAATGGATAAAGAAGATGTGGCACATATATACAATGGAATATTACTCAGCCATAAAAGGAAACGAAATTGAGTTATTTGTAGTGAGGTGGATGGACTTAGAGTCTGTCATACAGAGTGAAGTAAGTCAGAAAGAGAAAAACAAATACCATATGCTAACAGATATATATGGAATCTAAGAAAAAAAAAGGTCATGAAGAACCTAGGGGTAAGACAGGAATAAAGACACAGACCAACTAGAGCATGGACTTGAGGATATGGGGAGGGGGAAGGGTAAGCTGTGACAAAGCGAGAGAGTGGCATGGACATATATACACTACCAAACGTAAAATAGATAACTAGTGGGAAGCAGCCGCATAGCACAGGGAGCTCAGCTCGGTGCTTTGTGACCACCTAGAGGGGTGGGATAGGGA